TTGCATTCGCCATCACTAAACTAATTTAATCATCGTTCCGTCAATCCATCCTTATCCATCTTAGTCAACTTATCATTCGCTCTCCATTTATTTCTGCACTTCTTAGCCCGCTTATCATATTCTTTATCTTGTCTATTATTGGGGAATCTGATTATCTTGTGACTATCGCCTACTATTTTGGGTCCATCGATCATTCACAGCCTACTCTTTTGATGATCATGTTCATCATCTTTATTCGGTCCTGCAGCTGCGTTGTTTTCTGACTATCCATTTCGACTCATCCGTTTCCCAGCCGCATTAATTCGCGTTAGCATATCTTAACTTATTCCTCTCCTTTTCCTTCCTCATTTCTCTTTCATATTCACCCATCCCTCTTGTTCGCAACTCACATTTCGCTTTTTTGATTCTTGCTTTTATTCTGTTCACATTACATTTTCACATTACTTACGAATAACAATTATCTTATTAAGTAAGATTTGCTGCTAGCCCCGAAAACTTACCTCTCAATATAATTTTCTTCTCAAGAAGTCCCCAAAGCAAAAACAATTTATTTTCTATCCTTCCTATTTTTTGACTACATCCGATCATATATACATAATTTTTTTACATCTATCTGCTCATCTCACAGATGTTTCAGCCTAACACACCCCTGACAGCAAATGCATGGACATATCTATCAAAGTTATCATGGCCACTGAGGCACATGAATTTATCCTTTTTAAGGGAAAATGTCTTGGGCACAAGATGATAGAGCAGCTTAGAAATACATTTGAAATACATTTAAATATTAAACAAGTTACAATGGAGAATACTGTGGAAGTGATTCGGAGAAAATTTTAGAGCTAAATCTCTGAAAAGTAATATGGCATAACATGATCCTTATAAGGGTGAAGAATTAGGTAGTAAACCAATGGAGAGAGTTAATATGGATAAATACAAGCTGGAGAAGTAACAGATTGCAATGCAATAGAGTACGATTGAGTCAAATATAGTTAATGAAGCGAAATAGACTAAGAAGGATGGAACAAAATGTATTCCTAAGCAGCTGAAAAAGGTGATAATACTGAAGGGCGCATAGAAGCAAGAACGAGTGCATCGGAAAGAAATATTACTATCCATTATTACCAAAACAGCGTATGGCATAATGGAAACTACTTTACGTAATTTTAAAAAGTGATTAGGAATGAACACCTTTGTGTACGGGTAAATTTGATTAACTTATTTTAAGATTGGATGGTATAAAAAGATTGTATAACTTTAGCAGTAACTGTATACAGATTGTGCTACATAATATAAATGGTGATTTCAAACTTGAATGCATGAGTATTACCTTGGAGTAGAATAAAGTGGAATATAATTTAATCTGATCCAAATTAATAGAAAGTAAGATAGTATAAATAAAAGTGCAGTGAAGTAGTGCAGTATCTGGTATTTTTCCAGTGTCATAAAAAATAAACCACGTTATGTGGTAAAGAGATTATCTGAAAATTTTGGACTTTTTTAAGTAGGAAACATACCTGAGAATTTTTCGACACTATTAGTCGATCATGTATATTTGATGCGTTCAGCCTATTTCATTTTCAAGGTGAATGACTAGTTGTTGAAGGAAACAGGGTTTTTACATCTCATATCCCTTAGCGTTTTGTTAGACTATGATTCATTATGCGATACCGTAGGATGGGCAGGCAAGGCCCAAATTTATTTCAAAAATATTTGTTTAGAAATAACGCTGTCCACCAGGTAATCGACAATCTGGGCCAGGAACAACTACAAACTTTTTTATTTAAAAACTATGATTCTGTGTGATTACCTACAGTTTTCATTGTAACTCCTTATGGATAATTTAACCGACAATACCCTACCTTAGATTATTTATTTAATCTCAAGCTGCATACGAATTTTTATCTAGCGTTTGTGGCATTTACTTCATTGTAGGAATAAGTTTGAGTGGAAAGGCACGCATGCAAATGTAATGTGGTCTAAACGGTTGTGAGCGCCATTATTGAAATTTCCTTTTTTTGTTTTCTCTTTTGAGAATGTGTCCAATTAATTGGGAGTAATTTTATATCATAGTATCATTCATGCCTTGCTTGCTTTATTCTACAAATAAAGAACTTTATATTCCTATTATAAACGGTTTAGACGACCTTTAATAAAATAATGAATACTGGCAATTAAGATTAGCTACAAGTTTTTCAGACCATCTTTACAATTATTACTCGAGGTATTAATAAAAAATGATTTTATTTTGTTATTCATGAGACTAGTCTACTTTACAACTTTTGCTACTTTGCTATTATTGCTATTTCTCTTACTATTGCCTCATTTATAAAGAGATTTGATTTTTGAATTATCACTGCCACGGCTTTATAATAGAAATTTTAGTTTTGGTCATGATCAGGCCACGATTTCTGAGCCTTCTCTAGAAAAGCTCAGATTACTTGATTCTACCAATCGCCTAATTATCACCTTTGAACTACCAGGCTTATTGAAGAGTAGTCACTGTGGTCTATGTATATAGATATGTTAGTTATTCAAAAATCGGAGTTTGGAAGACTCGGCTCGGGGCAAAATCTATTTCCATCCATTTAGTCACCTTGGTTTCTCCTTGTCTATCTCCCTAGTCTAAGAGGTATAACATTTGGGGAAATTCAGGACAATTCTTAGGAATTGTCACTATTTATCAATCAAGTGACCATTAGAGACTTCTTCAAGAGTTAATCAATCTTAGCTTTATTAGTTTTCCCTCAAAATCGCCTGACTGTAACTCTTGTTTATTCCAGATCATTCCTTTCCATACGCTTCTTCAAATGGTTCTACTCCCCGTAGATGGATGGGAAAACTAATGAAGGATATCTGAAAGCTTTTCTTTGTTTGTCGACTTTTCGTCTCAAATCTTCACCACTTGCTTGTTTGGACTTTATCAGACCCGTAATCGGCATAGTTTTAATGAACTCCTGGATCATTATCTCATTTTCATTCATAAATGGTCTTGAAAAATTTGACGATTTATCTTGCTTCCTTATTCTTTCGGTCGGGAAGGACGCCTTTTTTAATTAAATAAATTTGATCTTTGTTTCGAATTTTTATTCAATGAATATTTTTGAAACCCAGTTTTATTCACAATATTTACTATTGCAATTATAAAGATTCCTTTAAAAAATGATTAATTGCCGTTTAGTGTGACAGGGGAAATAGATCTTAAAGAGTGCCATTTCTGTTTGCCATTCTTCTAGTATCCTAGAAAGCCTGATATTTTTATCCTCATCCTTTGTATATGCTCCCTCCTAACGATAATGCTAAAAAATTAACCTTTTCTGGGCTAGAGTGATTTTAGGAGTTCTATATTACACGAAGCACCAAAATGTTTACTGTGACTTGCTGCATGCGATGAGGATGGATACATGATAAAGGGTATCATATTAATATAATTTATATAGATAAACGGACAAAAATGCAGGCAATGCAGACTTTTCTTCCCTGTCATTACACCTCTTTTAGAATTGAGCTGAGTGGAGCACTTTAAAACGTTGATGCTTTGATGGAGTAATAGTTGATAAAGTTAGGTATACCTAAACTAAGCTATGCCATATGAAAATAAGAAAATATAAAATATCTTTTAACTGAACTTTTAGTTAGACCATAATAAGCATCCTCCCAATATTTCCAAGATGAAAATTTATGATAGGAGGTATGTAAGGTTGGTAAAGCTTAATAAATTAATGGGTCCGAGTTGAACTAGTGGCTGCATTTGACTCGGTTTAATATTTACTCTACCATGTGCTTGTTTCCGTGTCTCTGCCTGGAAATTCTAAAGCTTTTTATCTCGCTGTATAATTGCAATTGCCATAATATTATCTAAATTTTTGGACTTGCCTTATTACACTCAATTTGTTTGCTTCTCCTGTTCTGGCCTTGTTCTCAAACCTTTGTAATGAAATATATTCCGATCATCTTCCTGCCTTTTCTTCCCTCCACTTGACCTTTCCCCGCGTTTTTAATCAATCCATTCCTTCTCCAGCCCCATTTTATGATCGTAAATCTAAAAGAGAATAAAGATGAAGATAATTTCAACGTAAGTTTACACTTTTTATAATGCATTAATAGTGAGGTCGTAACCAACACAATATGTATTTCGATCTTCTTTATATTGCATTTTACTTTAGTGCATTTGGAAATATGTGAATTGTTCGCAAGTATGCACGATTTTACACATGTATGCGCACATTCTAGTGTGTCTACTTTGCTCTGGAAATATAGATGCGTGAACATAAGCACTAACACCAATTTGCTTGTAATGGGCCCACAAACTTGGATTCTTCTGCTAACCAACTCAATTTAGCACAGAGCCTGGTTACTTACTTTTATATTGACCTCTTTATGGAATTTTGTTTGTTAACAGATTTATGTACATAACTGCCAATCTCTATACGAATATATTTTGAATCCTAAGCTCCGCTCTATATTCTGCCTGTCCCTCTTATAACTATTTTTTTCATGACCTCTTGACACAACTTGCCCGCCATTACCACTCCGAGAGTCGGTCTGTATACTTGCAAGTAAATCACGTCTTCGTATGCACCTACATACGTTAATGTGGCCACACCCACGAGGAAATCTCTAATTTATTCTAGGGTCGTGTTGGTTCTAGTACCTGCCAGAATCACTTGATTTTTATTATTTTATTTTATATACCTATTATACAAATCGCATTTTTCATACGTTTGTGCTTACAGACTTGTGTGTTTGCCTCCATTTGCTCATATTATATTATTATATTATGCCAATATAGTACCATACAATGCAATACAATATAATACAATACATTACAATACAGTACAATACAGTACAATACAATACAATACAATACAGTACAGTAGAGTTCACTGTAATTGCCGTTGCATATTCGACCAATCGAATCGCACACTTCCATCCATCTTTACTACCTCTTCCCCGACCAACTTTCATACTGACAGATAACTATTTCCTTCCAGACGTGCATGGGCACGCCCATCTTATGCCCTGTGACCCTGTTGGGTTTCTGTATCTCTCTGTTCCCTGATGCAAATGGGCGCTTAGGCAGACGGACTGGCGAAATTGCAGGCAAATGACGCGCATTCTGACAAAATTAGGAACACAGACAAGTCGACGGTCGAATCAGTTGATATGCAAAAATGCACCTTCAGACAGGCATATAATGGAAACCAAATTAGGAGTTTCGGCTCTGCTTGAGTGTATTCCACGTGCATTCTTTGTGACTAGCCCTACTAACCTCTTTCATTAGATGCATTAGCTTAACAGTGTTCAATTTTCCCCTTGCTATAAATACCTAGAATGTCATATTGTGTCTTGCGCTTATTTTTTGCTTTAGGATTCTTATCTTCTTAAATTCTTTTTTTTTCTTTGTTCAACCTCAAAGATTTGCCTCCACCATGCTTCTATCATTGACGAAAAGCGGGTTTTGCAAACGACTGTTACTAATGCTTATTTATGGATCATTTGCGTTGCCGGATTCGTTGGTTCCTCTGTAATGCTTAATACCTGCCTTCAGACTCATAAAATTCATATTTTCTGTGCGCATGTGACCGCAAGTAAACCGTGTATTATGGCCTGCCGATAGCCATCACTCCTTAGCTCTACTGTCATTAGATGGAAAAGTTTTTTTTAAGCTGGAAGCATAGCTTATAGAATTAGTGATATCTTCCGAAAAATTACATGTTACGGCCAAAATAAAAGAATATTAAAAGCTTTGGCAGATTGGAAATTCCTCTTTTTCTCAAAGTATCTTCGGGGTGTTCATGTAGAAATGATCATGTGTACCCTCTTTATTGAAGAAAAATGAACCAATTTGATTTGGCTGCGATTTGCATTGATTCCTTCCTCGTTTACGAATTAGCATTGTATTTTAAAATACACATAATTGTGGCTAGCCGTGGAAATCATGTCACTAGAAGACAAATTCTTCATATTTATTTTACGAATAGAAATTCGAGTTTATTTATTACGAACTTATTTAACAAATTTTCAATTTTTGTATCCTTCAGGATTCATCCGTATCTCAACAGTCGCACTTGTCCAATGAATTCATGCCTATCTGCTCTCCCTTGGACTCCTCTGGCTTAGCTTCTCTGCCCCCTGACTACTACTATTATCATCACCAGCATTATCATCAACATCAACAGCATCAGCAACCGCACAATCAGTCCCAGCCTTACCATCAGTCGTCGGTGTCGCTTGCTGGTGCTCCGCCTGGACTGGCTGGTCCGCATCGTTCATCATTGCCACCCACTGGAGTCAAGCTCGAGTCCACTGGTCGTGTTCGACCCAATGCTTCTGGTTATCTTATGCCTACCGAAGCGAGTCCTGGTCAAATGATGCCGAATATGGGCTCCAATTTCACCATCACGACGTCCAATTGCGCCAGCTCTGCACCAGTCTCTTCCACATCCTCTTGCACAACGACTTCTAATCTTCCTGTCGGCAGTAGCTATTCGTCTTCCGCTGCCTCTGGAGCCACACAACATCTAACCTCTGTCAGTTTGACGAACTTGGCTCGACTTTCTCAGTTGTCTGGCTGCAACGAAGTTCCCTTTTATCCAACCACCTCTTCGTCTTCATCGTCTTCATCTTCTTCCTACTCTTCTTCTCCGTCAAACCCACTAGTTGCCAGTGTTCCACACTCTGTACGCGTCTCCAGCCCTCCTCTTGGCTCATCTCAGTCCATCTCTTCCGCCTCAGTCAGTTGCTCTTCCTCCGGCCCTCCTCTTCCCATGGCAACTGTCGCCCCTACCAGTACAGCCATGTTTGCTCAAATGCCAAACTTATCGGCCTCTGGTACCGGATTCCTGGGCCCCTTCCCAGGACCAGCACAACCACCTACCTACATTCAAAGTCCTCTGACAGCCTCGCATTTTCAACCTGCGCCACATCATCACCTTTCTTTGCACACTCAGCCACCTCCGCCGGTCTATCCAACAGGCCAAATGCTTCCTCATCCAAGCCTACATACCCACCCACACGCTTATCCCCATTCCCACTCCCATCACTCCCATCCATATACCCATTCTCATCTACACCCGGCCTATTCAACTGTCTATCAGGCCCCCTATCCAAGTCACCAACTTTATCAACATAATGGCCAGACGACATCACAACAGATGCCAGTAATCCATTCTGCCATTCCGTCACCGAATGGATCCACCCTTGGGTTGTCTGGACCCCCACGCTCTGGGCAAGCCCCTCTTGCATCGGGTCATGGTGGCCCGGAAGTCGGGGAGCCAGGCATGATAAGTGGACAGCCACATCAACAGCCACATCAACAATCACGACCTCAATCACAGCCACAGCCACAACCACAATCAACCTCTTCGCACTACCACCACAATCACCAACCTCCTCACAGTCAGCACCACTTGGGTCCTGGATCAATGGGACCTGCGCCTGGATCTCAAGTGTACCATGCTCCTGGTGGCCATCTGTCCCAGGCACCAAATCACCTGCACTCCGGACTGCCTATGGCCTCAACACAAGGCCCTCCGCTGCCACCACCTCCTCCACAGACGTCTTTGGGCATGCCGATGCCTCAGACCATCCAAGTTAGGGCCTTTACTTATTTTGTCTCTAATGCATCATATGAGATTTAGTATTCTTCCCTTTAAGCATTGTTTCTGTTTATTGTCCATTAAAACTGTTTTAGTTGACTACATTCAATTGCAGTGATCAGTTGACGTCTTTCGATTTAATACTATACTACTTTGAGACATTGAAAAGGACTTGAATAACTGGCTTTTTGTCTATATATTATTCAAAGATATAAAGACCAAGATGGTGTGGCCTTTTATGTGTTCGCAGTCTCCTTTCGTTGTATAGAAGTTGTTTGACCTTGTTTTCGCAACTTGGTCATATTTGTAGGAAGACCTTGTAGGAAGACTATAGTCAGTTGGTTGATGGTTGGCCTGTTTTACCATAGACGTGGTCCATGAACATGAGACTTACTCAGAGACCACACTAGATTTAGATAAGCACGGTTAAAAATTGTGATAGTGAAGGCGTGATATGAGGATCTAGGACAGGAGAATAGCCCAGGGCAGAAGGAGAGTTACCACAGCTGTTTAGCATACGTTTGGTCAAAGGATCGGCTTGACTTGTCTCTTTGACGAGTTGTTGTG